ACAGATTACTTCCGTATCTTCTAGAATTTCGTAGAAATGAAATGGCACCACATACAGCCTCTTGTGTCTGGCTTCTTTCACCCAACATAATGATTTTGAGATTCTTCCATATCACATGTGTATCCACAACTTGTTCCTTTTCAGTGCTGTGTTATAGTCCATTGTATGGACATACAATAATTTGCTTAACCGTTCACTCGGGTTGTTTCTGTTTTGGTCTTTTATGAATAAAGTTGCTATGAACATTCTTGTACAAGTCTTCCTGTGGACATGTTTATTTCTTATTTATTATTTTTCTTGAGACAGGGTCTTGCTCTGTCACCGAGGCTGGAGTATAGTGATCATGGCTTGCTCTATCCTTGTCCCAGGCTCAAGTGATCCTCCCACCTCAGCTTTCTAAGTAGCTGGGATTACAAGTGTGTACCATCATGCTTAGTTAATTTTAATATTTTTGTAGAGATGGGGTATCATTATATTGCCCAGACTGGTCTCAAGCAGTCCTCTTGCCTCAGCTTCCCGAAGGGCTGGGATTACAGGCATGAGCCACCATGCCCGTCTTTCTTTTTTTTTTTTTTTGAATGAAGTCTTGCTCTGTTGCCAGGTTGGAGTGCAGTGGCATGATCTTGGCTCACTGCAACCTCCGCCTCCCAGGTTCAAGCAATTCTCCTGCCTCAGCCTCCCAAGTAGCTGGGACTATAGGCACGTACCACTATACCTAGCTTTTTTTTTTTTTTTTGAGACAGAGTCCCACTCTATCACCCAGGCTGGAATGCAATGGTGTGATCTCGGCTCACTGCAACCTCCGCCTCCCGGGTTCAAGTGATTCTCCAGTCTCAGCCTCCTGAGTAGCTGGGATTATAGACACACACTACCATGCCTGGCTAATTTTTGTATTTTTACTAGAGATGGGGGTTTCACCATGTTGGCCAGGCTGGTCTCGAACTCCTGACCTTGTGATCGGCCTGCCTCAGCCTCCCAAAGTTCCGGGATTACAGGCGTGAGCCACTGCGTCCAGTCAGTTTACATTTTTCATCATATATGCAGAGACAATCAGGTGTGTCTGTGGAACATCTACAACATGTTGTTCCACTCACTGCCCAAATCAGGGAGAGGAGATTCTGCAGGTTCGTTCTGTCTTCCTGAGGAGTCTCTCTGGGGTTTATATAGGGGAAGGGCTCCAGGAGACCCTGACAGCACCTACTTCTGTAACTGAAGTCTCACGGCCAGTAAGGAAGCATGAAAAGGTGCCAGCATGGGCTTGAGAAGGGTTATGACATCATCCATCAATATGTCCCATCTCCCCTTCAACTCTTCTCTGACCCGGCTGAGATTCTGCAGATGCCGCCTCACCTGGCTCTAAGAGGATTGGGGCAGGTGGTGAGTTAGATTAGGTCAAGGCCGGGGAAACCTGCTAGGGAGAAACGCAGGGACTGAGAGGGAGGGAGAGAGACTAGGGAAGGAGAGGGAAGGGGGAGTACGGGTCTGCACAGGGCAGAGAGAGATAGGAGATGAGTCAGAGGAGGCAAGAGATATGGGAGGAAGGTGTGTCTAAATGGCAAAATAATAAGATCACCCATTTATTCCGAGCTTCCTGAAATCTAGGCTCTGTGCTGGGCATGTAAATGGCACAGTTCCATGTTGCTACACCCCACACATATGGAGAAGATGTAGTTGTTACCCAAAGTCTCATGGACATCCAGCTGTCCACAGGTCCTCCTCCAAAGAGTCCAACAAGCAGATGAGCTTGGTATCACTCGATAGAGTGGAGGGTTTAAGGGCTGTGCTCTTTGGCCGGGTGGACTGTTCCATGCTCAGACTGAATCTTTTCAGTCTTCTCAGAAAGGCACTTAAACACCCTGAGGTTTGGTGTAACCCCCCATAGGCAAAGGGATTACAGACTGCCAGCCTCAAAGGACCTTTTGTAAGGATATTAGAGCACACAGGACAGCTGCTGTCACATGGGAAGTGACACAGGCTGGGGAGACCTTGTCTGTTCTGGTTTTGAGGGCAGGAGACTCCCATGCCTCAGTTTCCCCTTTTCTTTGCACCTCACTCTCCCTCTCTCCCTCTCTCCCTGCCCCTCAGTCTCTCCCTTTTTCCACCGCTCTGCCTCCCTTGGGACAGTCTCAGTGTGGTTTTCTGTGTACATCCCTCTCAGGGTCTCTCTGAGGAGCAGGAGGGTTTTTCATTATATCCCGGCAGTCTGTCCCCACCTCCAACCGCAGCCTGTCACATGTTTCCCCCAAATCCGCGCTAATTCTCCCTATGTTTTGCTGAGGCTGGCCTGACCTAAGAGGATTGAAGCATTTGCTAAATGAGACTTGGACAGGGTCAGAAAACTAGCTGTGGGAAGACACAGGGGCCAGGATGGCCGCAAGGTGATGGCAAAAGAAGCAGGAGAGGAGAGGACAGAGGCAAGGGGTGGCATGCTATTGGTGCAAGGACATAGAGACCAAGAACCCAATAGAGACTTTTTGTAGAGCCAGTCATGGTGGCTCACACCTGTAATCCCAGCAGTTTGGGAGGCCAAGGTGAGGGGATCACTTGAACCCAGGAATTCAAGACCAGCCTGGGCAACGTGGTGAGACCTTGTTTCTGCAAAAAGTAAAAGGAGATTAGCCAGGCATCGTGGTGTGTGCCTGTGGTCCTAGTTACTCAGAAGGCTGAGGTGGGAGGATCACTTGAGCCTGGGAGGTTGAGGTTGTAGTGAGCTGTGATTGTGTCACTGCACTCCAGCCTGGGCAACAGAGTAAGATCGTGTCCAAAA